ATACGAGGTGAGGGGCGTGAGGCCGTGTAAGGCAGGCCATCACCACATCTTTATCCCAGATCATCAACATCACCAGCTGGGTCTCCAAGGCTCTCTGAGAATCAAAGTTGGAGGCCAGTCACTGGTCTCCAAGGGTTAGTACAGGTTTGTATAATACCTTGGGAGAAAGAAACTGCAACTGTCCTCCACTAAGCCACGTCTCCCATGCAATACCCCGCCATGGCCACGGAGGACAGCGCGCCCCTCTCCTCGCCTAAGATGCCGGAGACCATGGCGGAGGGTCACGACGGGGAGAACCAGCCCGTTCCCCTCCAGAGGTGCGACACCCTGGAGAAGAGGCTGAGCGGCGAGACGGAGACCAGAGAGGAGAACACACGGAGACACACCCCAGACACCAAGACCTCGAACAATGTGTCTCCAGCCCCCAGTCCTCTCCTGCGAGTCCCCAGCCCCTTGGATCACACCCCAGATCGCAGTCCCCGTCACAGCCCCGCCCACACCCCGGAGGATGACCGCCCACACAGCCCGGCCGCCCACACACGCAGTAGAGCGCCGCTGGCCTTCTCTATTGACCGAATCATGGAGCCAACACCCAAGAGAGTGAAAGTGACAGAGGTGAGGCAGACAGGGGTTGACGAGTGAGGTAGACAGGGGGTGACGGGTGAGGTAGACAGGGGTGACAGAGGTGAGGCAGACAGGGGTGATAGTGAGGTAGACAGGGGGTGACGGGTGAGGTAGACAGGGGTGACAGAGGTGAGGCAGACAGGGATAATAGTGAGGTAGACAGGGGGTGACAGGTGAGGTAGACAGAGCGTGACAGAGGTGAGGTAGACAGGGGGTGACAGAAGTGAGGACATGTGACACTAACTAACTAAAGGAGCTCTTGTTTATCACCTTCTGTAAAAGTCGTTTTTTTGTTGTGATTAAGACCTAACGAGCGGTGCATAACAACCCTGGTGGTAGTTGAAGCATGTTATCTGTTGACTATACCAGACCTGATCTCTCTCTCTCTCTCTCTCTCATCTCTTCTTCCCCTTACTCTCTCTTCCTGTATACCAAAACACACGTACTTGGCAATCATTCACTTGCCCACATGATAAATAACACTGGTTAGAATCTCACGCCCAAACGCCCACAAGACCTGAGTGGGCCTGTTAGCTGTCACTCCCAATGACCCTCACTACAGCTACATAAACGCCGCCTCTCTGTACCTCCTGGTCTTTTAGGGCGTGAGGGGGGAGGGGGTAAGAGGGGGAGAGGGATGAGTGGGAGTTAGGTCTTAGAGGCAACTGGTCTGTAGAATTGGTCTTTGAGTCTTGAAATAGTATGGTCTTTTTTTTTTAAATTGGTATGTTACAGCGTTTGGGTTTCTAGATAGTGTTCCAAGAGTGTTTCTAGATAGTGTTCCTAGATAGTGTTCCAAGAGTGTTTCTAGATAGTATTCCAAGTGTTTCTAGATAGTGTTCCTAGATAGTGTTCCAAGAGTGTTTCTAGATAGTGTTCCAAGTGTTTCTAAATAGCGTTCCTAGATAGTGTTCCAAGAGTGTTTCTAGATAGTGTTCCAAGAGTGTTTCTAGATAGTGTTCCAAGTGTTTCTAAATAGCGTTCCTAGATAGTGTTCCAAGAGTGTTTCTAGATAGTGTTCCAAGAGTGTTTCTAGATAGTGTTCCAAGTGTTTCTAAATAGCGTTCCTAGATAGTGTTCCAAGAGTGTTTCTAGATAGTGTTCCAAGAGTGTTTCTAGATAGTGTTCCAAGTGTTTCTAAATAGCGTTCCTAGATAGTGTTCCAAGATAGTGTTCCAAGAGTGTTTCTAGATAGTGTTCCAAGAGTGTTTCTAGATAGTGCTCCAAGAGTGTTCCAAGATAGTGTTCCTAGATAGATCAATAATTTAATCTAGATCTTTGGTGTCAAATAGTAACTAGCTTAATGTTAAAGTGAGTGAGTGAGTGAGTGTGTGTGTGTGTGTGTGTGTGTGTGTGTGTGTGTGTGTGTGTGTGTGTGTGTGTGTGTGTGTGTGTGTGTGTTTATCATAGTTCATAATAATGTGTTTGTTTGTTTTCATGACTGCCGCAGGTAACTAAGGCCGCATCACCGCCGCCTCCGCCTTTACGCCCGCTAGTAGCCAGACGACCACTGGATCACGACCACTTCCACGCCCCCCACCGCAACCTGCACGACCCACACCGCGACCTGCACGACCCACACCGCGACCTGCACGACCCCCATCGCAATTTGCACGACCCTCGTTTGGCTGGGCTGAGAGCGTTGTACGACCACCACCGAGCCAAGGAACTACTGCACGACCCCCGCGCCAGGGACCTCTTGGCTCACTACCCGCTACTCTACCACTACTACCAGGTACGACGACTACTACTACTACTACTACTACTACTACTACTACTACTACCACCACTACTACTACGACTATTATTATTATTACAATCATTTACACTATTACTACCACTACTACTACGACAACCACCTAATCTACTACTACTACTATTACTATTACTACTTTAGGTTATGCTAAGTTAATTTAGGTTAGTTAAAGTTAAGTTAGATTACTTAAGGTTAAGTTAGGTACTTTTAAACATACGTCACTAATAATAAGAATAATGAGAAAAAGAACAACAAAAACAACAATAACAAAAGTAACAACAACAATAATAACAACAAAAGTAACAACAACAATAATAACAACAAAGGTAACAACAAAAATAACAACAAAAGTAACAACAATAATAACAAAAGTAACAACAACAATAATAACAAAAGTAACAACAACAATAACAAAAGTAACAACAGCAATAATAACAAAAGTAACAACAACAATAATAACAAAAGTAACAACAACAATAATAACAACAAAGGTAACAACAAAAATAACAAAAGTAACAACAACAATAATAACAAAAGTAACAACAACAATAATAACAACAAAAGTAACAACAATAACAACAATAACAACAAAAACAACAATAATAACAACAAAAGTAACAACAACAATAACAACAAAAACAACAATAATAATAACAAAAGTAACAACAATAATAACAACAAAAACAACGACAATAACAGCAAAAACAACAATAATAATAACAAAAGTAACAACAACAATAACAAAAGTAGCAACAACAATAATAACAAAAGTAACAACAATAATAACAACAAAAGTAACAACAACAATAATAAGATCAAAGGTAACAACAACAATAATAACAAAAGTAACAACAATAATAACAACAAAAGTAACAACAATAATAATAATAATAACAACAAAAACAACGACAATAATAACAACAAAAGTAACAACAACAATAACAACAAAAACAACAATAATAACAACAATAACAACAAAAATAACAACAATAATAGTAATAATAACAAAAAAACACCAACATGCCCCTTCACCGTGTACTCACCTCCCTCTTCTACAGGCAGGTGGTGTGTTCCCCTCCCCCAGTGTCGCCGACGGTAACGTCCCTAATGCCGCTGCCACCACCCAACAGCCACCACCGCCGCCCCCACATCCACCCGCCGCTGCCACCCACCTCAGCCCGGCGCCCGCCCACAGACTGACGCCCCATGCCCTCTCAGCCTTCACCCGTCTCGACCTGTTGAAGACCAGAGTACAGCCGCCCACCACCTCCACCCCCTCCCTTCTCTACACCTCGGTGAGTACCTACTGCCTGCTTAATTAAGGTTACCTGCTTTTAATTACAGTACATGCTTAATTATAGTGACCTGCTTTAAATAAACAACTTATAATCACTCCTGGGGAAAATTTGTCACCAACTCGCTCGCTCACTCACTCCTTCCCTCACTCATTCAAGAGGTTAGTAACTTAACACCTAGTACTCAGGTGTTAACATCCCAGGCAGGTGAAGCACCACTAACCAGGAACAACTATCATTATATGCGAAAACTTTCCTCCCCCAGGCGGCGACGAAGGCAACGGCGGAGTCCCCTGTGCCGCGGCCGTATGATCTCTCCATGACGGGTGCCGCAGCTGCCATGTCCCGAGTGTCCGCCACCCTGGCCTCCTCCACCACCTCCTGCACCTCCACCTCCCCTAGGGGCGTCATGGATCTCAAGCCTCTGCCGTCTGTACCTCCTGCAGTGTCTCCCGGGGCGCCTCTCCCTGCCTCCAGTACAGCAGGAGGAGGAGGAGCACCGTCGAGGGTGACGGGTACCCCCTCCTCCACCTCCCCCCGCGCTGACTCTCACAACACAGGTACGACAACAGGTAACATTAGGGCCCTGGGTCACAATACCTGTGTAAATACTCCTACGACTTATAAATACTCTGTGTACTATTTAATACTATATCATAAAACCACAAACATATTCAACACGAATCTTATCAGCCTCCATTTTCACCGTCAGGAAACGCCGTCAGCGTCACGTCTCCGCCTCTACCTGGTACCGGAGGCGTTATAGCGCCCACAGGCACCACCAGCAGCACTCCACTACCTCCCCCAGCAGGCAGCGTCACCCCCGACACTGCCACCACCACCAACACCACCACCAGCGACTCTACCACCACGAGCAGTAGTGGCGGGGTGGTGACGGTGGGCGGCGGGAAGAAGAGTGGTGGTGGCGGGGTGGGTGGTGTGGGGGCCGGAGGAGTGGGCAAGGCTCAGAAGACCTTCACGTGCCCAGAGTGTGGCAAGATCTTCAACGCCCACTACAACCTCACCAGACATATGCCCGTCCACACCGGCGCCAGGCCCTTCGTCTGTAAGGTGAGTTTCTTCACACATGTTTCCCTCACACCTCATATACAGCCTCGCCGGCGCCAGGCACTTCGCCTTTAAAGCGGTGTGGTAAATAATATTGTGGTAGAGATAAGGACTTGACTGTGGTACTAACTGTGGTGGTGTTGCAGGTGTGTGGTAAGGGGTTCCGGCAGGCGTCGACGTTGTGTCGCCACAAGATCATCCACACGTCAGAGAAGCCCCACAAGTGCCAGACCTGTGGCAAGGCCTTCAACAGGTGAGAAGTCTGCCAGTTTAACTCATCTGGCAACACCTTATAGATAAATAATTCTCAACAAGCCTTACGGTGTTAACACCTTTGTACATTTGCTTAATTCAACAAAAGATCTTTCCTTTTTTAATCATAACATTTGGTCCAACAACAGACGATCATTACTGTACCCAACTGTGAGGTAATGTTTTAAGTGTTGCTGCTGACAAATAACTGTTATATTTGATGACTATTCTTGTTCACTTTGTTAAGGTAGTTTGTTCCTTCCTATTGCCTCCGACTCTTGGGAGAATGTTTATTGACTTATGAAGAGAAGGTAATGTTGTCGTCCTCTGGCAGGTCATCAACACTGAACACACACGTCAGGATCCACAATGGTTACAAGCCGTACGTGTGTGAGTTTTGTGGCAAGGGTTTCCACCAGAAGGGCAACTACAAGAACCACAAGCTGACCCACTCTGGGGAGAAGGCGTACAAGTGTCACGTGTGTAACAAGGCCTTCCACCAGATCTACAACCTCACCTTCCACATGCACACACACAACGATAAGAAACCCTTCCAGTGCTCCATCTGCGGCAAGGGCTTCTGCCGCAACTTTGACCTGAAGAAGCATATGAGAAAACTCCACGACAGCACGCACTACACGTCTACGTCGTCTCCGTCGGTGTCGCCCGTGGCCGAGGGCAGCATGAGCTCGAGCCCCTCGGCCCCGTTACCCCGACAGTTCTCTGTGCTGCCGTCTTTAATGGGTGGCGCCACCTCCCTCCCCACCAGCATGGCCCTGGGCTCGCTCTCCCATCCCCCGCCCACAATGCCGCCGCCCCTCCCCGCCCACTTCATGAACCCATTCCTCATCGCCCCTCCCGCGCTACCACCCACCTCCACCGCGCCCTACCTTCACAAGATACCGTCCTTGTTAGGCTGATGGCTGCTGCTGGCTCACCTCGCCGCCACCGCCGCTGCCACCGCTTCCTGACCCACACGACTACACGTCAACCCGCTGTGCTGTTCTCTCTAACGTGAAGCCAAAGACTCCTTCAACGATGCCATAAAAGAGAGAGCTGTTACCCTTAACCTGTGATGATCTGTGGTGACGCTTGACCCCCAGTTACCATGTTGGTGTTGATGCCGCGCCACACATCACCTGGTGGTCATGAGGCCCACCACTTCTCCCACTAAAGCAAAAAAAGAAAATTCTGTTTCTTTGCCTCGTCAACAACAACCACCAACGTTAATTACCTGAGACCTCGCTTAACCTCCCCTCCCCCACCCTCCCTACACCCTCAGGAGCACGGGCGGGCGGCAGGAGGCTAACATGAACAGACTTCACTAATTTAATTACCCAACTCATCATCAGTGAGAGAAGTTGAGGAGCACAAGTTATCCCTCACGTGCCGCCCCACCTAGTGCCCGTCTCAGCCCTCTCCTGCCCTCACACCTCTCCTGCCCTCACCCTCTCCTGCCCTCACACCTCTCCTGCCCTCACCCTCTCCTGCCCTCACCCTCTCTTACAAATGAACGTGGCTGAGGAAGACTGCTGTGAGTGTGGTCATACCTTGTGTCACACCACCGCCTCCCTTGTGTCACCCATCACTGTGTTCATGGAGGTTTCTTATTACCATCACGACAACTGACTGGTAACATCGGGAATGATCTCACAGCGACAAGGCTTTGTTGTTCCACTGTACAAAGAGTGCCACTGGTCACCATCAACAAAGGGGGATCACTGGAGAGGTACAAATGGAATGAAGAGAAACAGTAGCGGTGGAGAGGCGCAGTGGGAATGAAGAGGAACAGTGGCGGTGGAGAGGCGCAGTGGGAATGAAGAGGAACAGTAGCGGTGGAGAGGCGCAGTGGGAATGAAGAGAAACAGTAGCAGTGGAGAGGCGCAGTGGGAATGAAGAGGAACAGTAGCGGTGGAGAGGCGCAGTAGTAGTGGGTCCTCCGTCAGGTTAATAGGAGATAAGGTCGGTCTCTTCTACAGGAAAAAAAAAATTAGTTACGGTGCGACGTAAACTCAACCAAAGGTAAACAAGACTGGTGTACAGGTGTTAAAGCTGCAGGACAACGGGGTGTAGGTGTAGCGACTCCCAGTGTGTTAGTTAGAATAATTTGAGGAGGTTCATACACAGAGGACAGGAAGCACACCCCCTCCCCCCACACCAGGGAGCACAGTGTGAGGGTCAAGAACACAATTGGGGGCTTCATCTCCCTTAATTGGGCCTAATCTCCCTTAATGGGGTCTGATCTCCCTTAATGGGGCCTGATCTCCCTTAATGGGATTTGATCTCCCTTAATGGGCCCTGATCTCCCTTAATGGGCCCTGATCTCCCTTAATGGGCCCTGATCTCCTTTAATGAGTCCTGATTTCCCTTAATGGAGCCTGATCTCCCTCAATATGGCCTGATCTCCCTCACTGGGCCCTGATGTGCCAAGCATGAGGGAGCCATCTCGCCCCCGCACCAAGAACTACCGTCATGGTTGTTATCACGTGTAATTATTAGTGTCAAATATAGGTTGTTATGTTGTCATTGTTGGCATGCTGTTGTGTCCTCATAGAGCTGTCTAGTCACTTGGTTATTATCAGATGATGTACATAATGTGTATAGGATCTATGTGTATATGATGTGAATATGATGTATATAAATATATATTGTAGGCTTTGGTGGATCGCTAAACATTTTATGAGTGACCAGTGTTGTCGCTGTCTCCCGGAAGTGACGTCATCAACATGGCTGCCACAGGTGTCATTGTCTCTCGGAAGTGACATCATCAACATGGCTGCCACTGTTGTTACCTCCTGGAAGTGACGTCATAAACATGACTGGCTTGTTGATCTTGTTCCAGAAAAGTACAAGTGAGCAGATGACGGTCAGCTCCAGAGGTGTGATGGTCAATTCATGGCGCCAGAGTTCAGCCATGACACACACACACACACACACGGGGAATATAGAGACAGATTATGCTTTTAATGTTCATTCTTTTAGCCAATGCCAGGCGAGAAATAATATTACTTTTGTAAACACTTGTTCCAGCCAATCACGGCGCACTAGTCAAGGGAGCATGCAGTACTACGTCATCTCTTGAGCTGAACCTATCGCAGAGCAGACTAGTCATGACGTAATATATGCAAAAAATAATTAGGCTAAACCAACCACATAGAGCTAAGCTGGTGTGACGTCATAGACTTCAATTTCTGTGCTTATCCAATCACAGTGAGCTATGCAATGACGTAATATATTTGCATCCAATCATATTTCAAGCCAAGAAATGATGTAATCTGTATGTAACCAATCACAGTTCAGGCTAAGGAATGACATAATGAATCTGTCAGTATCCAATCAGAGTGCAAGGCTCAGGAATGACGTAATCTGTCAGTAACCAATGAGAGTGCAAGGCTAGGAAATGACGTAATCTGTCAGTAACCAATCAGAGTGCATGGCTAGGGAGTGACGTAAATCCTTGTGTCATCCGGTAAAAGGAAGTATACATTCTAGAGGCGATTCCCCCGGTGTTTAGCGCCTAGTACACACAAACACACACAAACACCGGGGCCAGTTGGTACAATAAAACTGATTACAGCATTAACCAACTCTGTTTTATTGACCTTTCCTTCACCCGCCTCCAGTTTAGAGCGGATTGTGAGGGGTGATTCTTTTTAAGCCCGCGCTCCCTCGTCTACAAAAGATACACACGACAACCTACTGGCCATATACTACACCACCCACCCACACACACACACACACACACACTCTCAAACACACTCACACACACACACACAAACAAACAGGCTTTTAAACGCCATACCAAAATCCAGCTCCTGGTCTGTCAGAGAGGAAATGTAATTGAAGCGTCCTGGATCCCACGGTGTTAACGAAAAAAAAAAAAAAGTTGAGCTAACCTGGCTGGGTCCATCAACGCCTCTCTTCCTGCTGCCACAAACTGTAGCATTTTCCGTCCTCACAAAACGCGCAATACACAAAATAAAGAGAAAATTTAAAAATATGTAATTCATCTGTCATGGATATTTTATGCTCCAGGGGTTGTTAAATTGCAACCCCCTTCCCCCTCCCCCCCTCCACCTAACCCCCGAAAACCTCTGCCACCCTTTGGTGTATCGGTAAATCTGTTTCACTTTTCGGAAAACATTATTCCACGCTGGAGCACTCGGCGCCCTCTCCCGCCTGTTAATTCTCACAGCCTGCCACCAACTGCCCACCCACCCAACTCTAACACTCTACCTCTCTCATACAACCTTGATAAATAACCTATAATTTACTATAATTTATCTATGTGTTCCAGTGTTATAGTGTCGTAGCATCAGGGGTAATATGTATATGGTGGGAGATATGGTGATGGTGGAATAAAGTGTTGAGGGAGAGTGTAGCAGCGTGCGGCAACTCGGTAATCCATTCTTTTTAATCCAGACGACCGGCTAGGGTGTGAACTCGAATGGGCGGCTGCGTCCGAACCTACTGTACCCTCACCACGTCCATTTTTACCTCGCTCATATTTTACTCGTTATTTCTAGTTATTTGTTATAATTTCTTTCTAAATCTAAGACTTTGTTTATGTAAGATAACTAGTAGGAGGGATGAGTGCATATCAGGGGGGAAGTATTGATCACTGGTGCTGGGGGTTATGGTCGCTCTGTGGACAGTTCGGACGTGAGAAGATCTGCGGGCCCCGGACACGAAGATTATGCGATATTAAAACCTTCGTCCATTGATTCCACCGCGTATTAGCCCCCATCAGAAATAAATCCGTGGCCGGCCTGTTTATAGAACCATGCCGGGGAATGTTGGGTAGGATGAGCGCGGCAGACGAGAGGTGGAGCTCATCAAAAGGTTATAATGAAGCCGTAAACAATTGGCGCAAAAACAAGCTACTCGGCGGAGGTTCGTCGGCGCCCCACCAAATGTTTGCTTGTTTGGCCTCGTCTGTTGATCAACCTTGTCAAGTTTGGTGGGAATTATTAATTGCCTTTTCTCCCGGCCCGCAAGATGTGTCAATAGCTGGTGGCAGGTGCGGTAAACACGGCGGGCTAATAGAGGCAAAGTTCCATGAATGCCGGAGTGAGCACCGCACTTGGCGGGCTAATTTGAAATTGTGCGTGGACAATCACACGTTCTCTCTCCTGTTATTTATGAGTGTGAGCGCCGCCGTCCTCACACACACTCCAGCCACGACGAGCAGCTCTCCAGGGGGTAATAATTAGTGGAGTGTGTTCGTGTATCTGCCTCCTTCACTCCTCCTACCCTCTCTCCTTCACTCACTCCTTCCCTTCCTCACTCACTATCTATTTCCATCACTCCTTACCTCCCTCCTTGATTCCTTCCTTCCTTCACCAATAAGAATAATATCAGCGACGGTGATAACGATAACAACAATAAAGATGATAATAATAATGATGATGATGATGATGATGATGATGATAATGATGATGACGATGATAATGATAATACAAATAACCCCCCCCCCAAAAAAAAACTGAACAAATTCTCAAGATAAACAAAAGATGAGTTATTACACCCAGTTACCGCCTGAGAGCACGCACGCACTCACACACACACGCACGCACTCACACACACGCACGCACTAACACACACACGCACGCACTAACATAAACACAAAAGCTCAAAAGAACACTAACATTTTAACATAACTAACAGCCTATAACAGAGAACACTGGCCAAGGTAACAAACACAGTCGCTACAGATTTACAAATTTATTTTAATATTACTAAAATAAATTACCAATTACCTTATTATCTCCTTGAGATTTCTGATTGTTATTTTCTTTATTATTTTGGATTATATTTAGCATTTACATAGGCCTATATAGCTATGTGTATAAATAAATAAGCCTATGTGATTATACTTACCATATACTAAGGCCTATATAATTACCTGTATTTATATTAATATGCCTATATGATTACACTTAGCATATTCATAGGCCTATATAGTTACCTGTATATATTAATAAGCCTATGTGATTATTTACTATGGAAATGAACATATTGGTGTGAAAGTAATACAGTTTTATTTCACAATGTATTTAGTGAAGTCGCTGGTATACAGTAAGATACAACATCACCATCACCATACATCACCATCATTACAGTAACACCATAAAAATACCACTACACAACAACAACAACAACTTCACTACACATCACCACCACAAACATATCACCACTGCCATCCAAACATCACCTCCACCACCATAAAAACATCACCACCACTACCACCATCCGCACCACTGAAACATCACCACCACCATCATTACCACCAAAACACCATCACCATCACACAAACATCACCATCACCACCATACAAACATCACCATCACCACCATACAAACATCACCATCACCACCATACAAACATCACCATCACCACCAGTATCGCTCCAATCACCTGCATCGGCTCTAGACTGATAGGTGTGCCTTCTCGTGTTGATTGGGTGGTGCCTCTGTTCACGACCTCTGGGCTCTGCGTCCTCCCTCACCCTTACCGACCCTCCCCGACTTACTCCCAAGCCTCCCAGGCCTCCCAGGCCCTCCCCGACCCTCCTCACCTTCCCATTCTCCCAGGCCTCTGGCCTCCCAGGCCCCTCCTCACCCTTCCCACCACTCCCAGGCCTCCCCCGACCCTCCCAGGCCTCCCAGGCCCTCCCCACCGACCTCCCAGGCCCCTCCCCGACCTCCCAGGCCCTCCCTCACCCTTCCCGACCCTCCCTCACCCTCCAGGCCTCCCCGACCTCCCTCACCCTTCCCACGACCCTCCCCAGGCCCTCCCCGACCCTCCCAGGCCCTCCCTCACTGCTTCCTCCCAGGCCCCCGGCCTCCCAGGCCCTCCCAGGCCCTCCCCGACCCTCCAGCCCTCCCCGACCCTCCCAGGCCCTCCCTCACCCTTCCCGACCCTCCCAGGCCTCTCCAGGCCACCTCCAGGCCCTCTCCGACCCTCCCAGGACCTCCCCTCCCCCACCCCTCCCTCCCTCCCCACCTCTCCTGGCCTCCTCACCCTCTACAACCCCCCCACCCCCCTCCAAGACTCTCCTGTGCCCTCCATTATTATAAATCAGTGTTGTTTACCTCTCGTAAGGCAGTAAATACGAACACACAAAAAAAAATCGAGTATTTGTTCTGAGTCCATCCTTTGAGTATCGACTCAGCCACTCCTGCTGTACACACACACACACACACACACACACACTAACTAACGCCTCTTAATGAACACACACACACACACACACACACACACACACACACACACCAGATCCTGCAGGCTAAGAGTCTCGATAATTTACAGATCATCTTCACAGTTGACTCAGCCAATAAACACAATACGAGACTGTGTGTGTGTGTGTGTGTGTGTGTGTGTGTGTGTGTGTGTGTGTGTGTGTGTGTGTGTTCTGAAGTAGACGACATAAAGCCAGTGACGGAACGAATACAATAGACGGTAATAGACTTTTTGCCCATCTGTCCACACCTGTTTATATCTGGGTGGACAGGTGACAGGTACTCAGGATGATAACCAATGTCCCCCCTAATACAGGAATCGAGATATGTATCCACTCAGCCACCGCACCTTAATAACATCTATCAATTAATAAAGAAAATATACCACAAGTAGAAGCCATATTGTTTACCCTAAATGAAGAAGTACACCCAGCTTTAAAGTTTAGGAAATGAAGTAGATCAAGTACAGTGCCGTCAGGACATTAATGAGCTATATGTATAGGTGTAAATAAACAATTATATTAACCTAACTTAAACTCACCTAACTTACCATAACCTAACCTAACCTAGCCTATTTTCCTCCCTATCTACCATATTACCTCCATTTTCCTCCCTATTTACCATATTACCTCCATTTTCCTCCCTATCTACCATATTACCCCCATTTTCCTCCCTATCTACCATATTACCTCCATTTCCCTCCCTATCTACCATACTCCCTCCATTTTCCTCCCTATCTACCATACTTCCTCCATTTTCCTCCCTATCTACCATACTCCCTCCATTTTCCTCCCTATCTGCCATACTCCCTCCATTCCATTTTCCTCCCTATCTACCATACTCCCTCCATTTTCCTCCCTATCTACCATACTCCCTCCATTTTCCTCCCTATCTACCATACTCCCTCCATTTTCCTCCCTATCTACCATACTCCCTCCATTTTTCATCCCATACTCCCTCCATTTTTCAACCCGGTAAGGATACGGTGTTTGGCCTCTGGTACCTGTGAAAGTTAACACTGCTGGCCTTAGGATCCCAGTACGTGTGAATATTTTAAACAAGTCGGTAGAGTTATGCTTGATTTATACATATATTTCACAGCTTTATCATTCTTACAGTCCCATGTATAATGTACGTATATGTGTATGTATTCAATTCACACAATATATACATGAAAGGTGTATACATATTCGTCATGAAACACACACACATACAGCTTTTAACATGGAGTGAGAGGTGGAGTGAGAGGTAGACTGGGCCGCCCTCACCGTAACCCAGCCCATTCTGCCACTAACTCATCGTCTATTTCCATTTATAGATAAAGATGAAACAGTTGCCAACCACCTCAATTTAACGCCATATATATATTAATCAATCTTCCTGGGGGTTATTATTATTATTATCACCATTTGGCTTTAACAAATTCAAAAAAAGATAATTCATAAAGAAACTGTATTAAAAAATAAT